TCCGTGAGGAGCTGCCGTCCGTTTGTTTTGGTTTAAATGGCAGTCTCCGTGAGGAGCTGCAGTCATTATTATTAATAAATATTTTAAACCTGCGTCGGTCCTCCCTTTATCGTCCAGAGCTCCTTCCGTGGGATCCGAGGCAGGTGCGCACCGCACGTGTATCCACTTACGCGGTGGCCTCACCCCGTTCCCACGGCTCTCGGCCACGCCCCCTCGCCACAGAGAAGTTGTAACATTACCGGTAATTTGGCGGAACGCTGCGCTCGCGAACGCAGAGGGAAGATTGCCGGAAACAGCGCGTGTATGTCTTGAATGTGCCGAAGTGAGACGTCTACTTTAGCCAATCAGAACATTCAGAAACATTCTCGTCCGCGCGGTTTATGAGAGTAAAAGCCTTTGAATATTTTCCCAGATACATTTAGCTGCTAGATGTTAGTCAGATCACGTTTATATGTTCCTTCTTTATGCCAACTGTGTAAATAATTATCGATCAGATGCTTAATTATAAGCCGTTGTTTGTCTCCTTCCTTCAGTTGCTTGACGTGTCGCGTGTGCCCGTGAAGGAGTGAGCGCCAGCACACACACATATCATGAACATCTCGAGATGCGAAAGTGTTTCTCTATATGTTTTCATCAGAGTTGTTCACAATACTGATCCATCCATAGAGTTTGTAATGTAATTAAATGTTTAGAAACAAAAGCGCAGCCGTTTACATCTCATTTTAGGTTAATAATGTCAGAATTTACCGCTATTTTGGAGTGGATGTGTGAATGCTCTTTTCCAGAAAAATTCCGTAACGTCCTCGCCTGTGTGAACAGTGCTTTATTGAACTTACTGATAAAGTCGTTCCGGAAATTTTCCGGATATTTACCAGTATCACTGTGTGAAAGGGGCTATAGTCCCTCCAGCATGTCCTGGGTATTCCCCAAGGCCTCCTCCCAGTGGGACATACCTGGAACACTTACCTAGGTAGGCGTCCAGGAGGCATCAGAAACAGATGCCTGAGCCACCTCAGCTGACTTCTCTGGATGTGGAGGAGCAGCGGCTCAACTCCTAGCTCCTCCCGGGTGACAGAGCTTGGGTGCGCCCTGCCACCCTACAAAGGAAACTCATTTTAGCTGCTTGTATCTGAGATCTTGTCCTTACTGTCATGCCCCAAAGCTCATGACCATAGGTGAGAGTAGGAAGGTTGATTGACCGGTAAATTGAAAGCTTTGCCTTTCGGCTCAGCTCCTTCTTCACCACAACAGACCGGTCCATCGACCACATTACTGGTGCCGCTGAACCGATCCGCCTGTCAATCTCACGCTCCATCCTTCCCTCACTCGTGAACAAAACCCAGACATACTTGAACTCCTCCACTTGGGGTAAGGACTTTCCTCCAACCTTTACATGGCAAACCACCTTTTTCCGGTGGAGCACCATGGCCTCGGACTTGGAGGTGCTGATTCTCATCCCAGCCGTGTCACAGTCTGCAGCAAACCGCCCCAGTGCATGCTGAAGGTCCATGATCGAAGAAGAAGGACATCATCTGCGAATAACAGAGATGAAATCCCATGGCTACGCTTTAAATTCTGTCCATAAAAATGATGAACAGAACTGGTGACAAAGGACAGCCCTGCTGGAGCCCAACATGCCCTGAAAACAAGTCTGACTTATTGTCGACAATGCGAACCAGACCCTACTCTTGTAATAAAGGGCTGTCTCGTCCCTGTATGATCAGAGTTATTCAGCAATAACAAATAAACTTCCACTGAAATATAAATATTACATGTCAGAAACAAATACAAGTATTGTGTAAATACTGTAGAGCTCATTCTTCTAGATGATGATGAGTTAACATTTGATCACACAGTCATACAGTGTTTTGCCAGATGCTGATTAATGCCACGTTTCAGTTAATGGCATCTTATTTGTTAACATTAATAAGCGTTAGACAGCTTTTTGGGCAACACTTTAGTTTAAGTAACAATTCACACTAATAACCACTGGTGTATTACCTGCCTACTATTAAGATGTGAGCACTTATAAAGTATGATCTTATTCTACACCACTAATCTGCCCTAAAACTACCAGCTTAATAACTATTAATAAGCAGATGATTAGTAATTATTGTGCTAGAAATGTAGTTAATGGTTTGTTAATAGCCTGAATTGTACGTAAATTAAAAACATGTGACTGTTTTACTAAGGTGGCGGTATATTTGATCCATTTTCATGAGTAAAGCAGTTTTGGGTTGTGTTTAGCTGCTCTGTGACTGCTCTCTCTGTGTTTGTGTGTGTGTGTGTGTTTCAGTCGATGGTTGAAGTCGTGGCTGAGAATTATCACAACATCTGGGCCAAGAAGAAGAAAAGTGAGCTCTGCGGTCGAGGTGTGTGTGTGTGTGTGTGTGTGTGTTAGGGCTGTTCGATAATAGGAAAAATCATGATGACGCTTATTTTGGTCATAATTTTAATCACGATTATTCAAAACGATTATCAGTTGAAGTCAAAATTATTCGCCCTTCTGTGAATTTATATATATATATATACAGTGTTGGGCAAGCTACTTGAAAAATGTAGTGAGCTAAGCTATTAGCTACTCTACTTAATGTAGCTTAACTACACTAAAGCTACCCCCTTGGGAAATGTAGCAAGCTAAGCTAAAAGCTACAAGGCAAAAGTAGCTTAGCTACATCTAAGCTATTTTTGCAATTTTTATTTTTAAATCGAAGCAACTTAAATCCAAGTCAATCATATATTAGTGATCAATAAAACTTTCAATGAAACATATGAGGCAGAATAGTTGTTCAGTTATTCACTGTAAACAATATGCGGTACCAAACAGAACCTAATTATAGCACTGTATAACAGCTAAAACAAATCCAATAAAAGCAAGCAT